TTTTAGTGAAAATTCACCATCGAAAACCTAAAAACTTGTTATCATTTTTTAGGTACCTCTATCGACTCAGGAAAGACTTATTTCATTTAGATATAGGTCCCTAAGAGCCGCTGAGCTTCTGCAGCGTGAACAGAGGTATTTAAAAGATGGTAACAAGTTTTTAGGTTTTCAATGGTGAATTTTCACTAAAAGTTGTCTAAATCATAAAAAATTCATATCTTGCAAAAGCTTTGGTTTATAAGCCTAAAAGTGTCGCAGTGAGTAGACAACATCTATCTTCAACTGTGGTGTAAATTTTCGACTCCTAGCTGATCATGGTCGTGAGCTATTAATTAATTATTATTAATGGCATTTTCATTAATTAACTCATATCTCCGTCAAAAAGGCATATGGGCCCAAGCCAACTTGGGGTTTTCACTACTGACCATTCCCTACATGATGAAAATAGTCTGAGTCGAAAAGCTTTTAATCACCTCGAGAGGTTCCCTCGTGAGACATCATTTTGAGCATGACTTGTTGTTTTTCTCATGCAATAACTCCTAAGTAGTTAGATAGTTTAGATAGTCGAATTTTGGTATTCATTTTTAACAGCTCCTTGCTTAACCTCCCCACTTTTTCTATTTAAAACAAAAAGATAATTCACTTCTTCCGTCTTAAGTGCGCATATCCATTTCGTTTTAGAATTAATGATTAATGATATCTTGTTAATGATATTCATCATAAAAATTTGAGCTAAAAATAATAATGTATTAAAAATACATAAAATTATCTTGTAATAACAAGATTTATATTTTTAAAAGAAAGTAAATAAAGCATATTGGTTAAAGAGCACATAGAGATGTGTGCGACCAAGTTTGACTACAAAATCCAAACCGCAAATAGAGTTTTGTCCCGTGGATAGAACAAAAAAAAAAACGTGAGAAACTGTTTCGAAAAAATTTGTGTTAAAAGTCTAAAAGTAAGTTAAATTCTTTAGTTGCAGTTTTGAGACTGCAACGATTGCACAAAACCTCAATCAAGCCTTCGCTTAACTACACTGAGATATAATAGGTGATTTTGCTTTGTAGCAAATTTTGTTTCTTCATTGTGCTTCGTTGGTGACCAAAGTGAATCTAAAAAATCGATTAAGTTTATTCGCAACAAAAAAAAAACATGACAGTATTTCTTTCTATACATAGTAAATTTTATAGTTTATTATTTATATATCACAGAGCTGAGAAGAAAAACAATTTCGGTTGACTATGTAATATAGTATAAAAACTTATTGTAAAACTACATTTCTGACAGTTTAAGCATCGTCTTATATTAGAACCGAAAGCTTTTTTTATGCATTTTTAAGTAGAACATAAAAACAAAATGTTTTTTAATTGTTTTAGGTGAAAGACTATGTTATTTGACAATAAATCAACAGAAGAAAAGAAAAAATGCATTATGATAGTCGTCAAAGTTTATAAAATAAAACAGAACATATCAGATGCTTCTTTTTCTTCTACTATATTATTATTTATAGGTTTATGAGAATTAAAAAAAATTGGAAAATACTAATGCTTCGTTGAGCATATAAAATTATCGAAGGTAGCATAATCAATATATCAATCTGGTCTTATTAATGTTGATTTTGGACGAAATTCGATCATTAATACATATTCTTGAACAGCATTGTTTTGACATTTTTGTTTATCTAATTTCCAATGTAAACCTAAACAATAGCGAAAGGAAATACTTAGTTAGAATTTATTACCAAAAAGATGTATCTCATTACCTAATATATGATAAAGACGTTGATTTTCCCATTCAAGTATTTTATTCACTGCATGTTTTGAACGTTTATTTAAACAAAACACGGGACACATTGACAGACCAATTGTGCAGCAGCAACAGATACACCCACACAATAACCTTAAATAAGAAAATAATGATTAATATTCAATCATAATATCTGTAGACTGAAGGGCGGGGCGAGAGAAAAAAGCAGGAGAGGTGTAAATTTATTTGAGAGAAAATCATATAACACAACAACTAAATGATGATGTTGATATCAATTTGAGCTGTTAATCTCATTGAAGAAAAGTGAAAGAAAAATTTTGCTGTCAACTATTCTGAGAGACAAAGGGGAAGAAAGCATGCGCTTGTTAAATTTTGATTAGATTGGTTACAGGATCTGGGCAAGAGCTCAGACGAAATGCTTGGAGGAAAAGAGATTGCTAAAGAGAAAATTATTTTCAGAAGCAAGGGAGGGCGTACACTCTCTTACACTCCTCCTTTGGCCACGGCACTGTGTAGACTGTTGCTTACCATTTGAAATTAATTGGTACATTTTTTCTTAGAATAGTATTGACACGTTTAATTGTTTCACTATATTCATCCCTTGCTACTCGCGCCGTTAACTGTTGCGGATATTCATCATCAAATTTATTATTTAATGCAAAGACTGTAACGTGTCCAGAACCACGAATAGTAATTGGATCTGGTAAACGTACAATTAGATCATCATAATTATCATTAATAATGGTGGTGGTTGTCGTTTCCAAAGGATGTTGTTCTTGACTAATAACGTCAACTTCATCCATCAACATGTAAAAAAATGACTAGAAAATGTTTGTTTGAATCACATTTAGAATAAATAAACGAAAACAAATAATTTGTAATTTATATATTTAGATGTTCATTTTCCATAATAGAACGATATATAGCATAGTTTTATCTGAAAAATCAACGAAACCATTTTTTACTGGTAAAACTTGAAACTGTTTCTATAAGATCAAGATGTTAATCACATTTAAACAACAGTATTAACACTTTTTCATATAAAACTAACTTTTTAGAATTCACTCAATAATAGAGTTCAAGCAAGGCTCAAAGGTATGTCAAGCAGAGTAATTTGATTTAAATACTGTTTTCTTATTTGTTATATTAATTTGAAATTCATGCAATTTACACTTTTATCTATCATATATTTTCTCTTCTTCTCACACAACATTAAAATGAAGAAAACTCTATACTCTTAACAGTTATATTTGATAATGTTGTACATAAAAATTACCTAATATCAATAAGAAAATAAAAATGATTCAACTTATATACTCAGTTTGTCTATAAATCTAAAATTTCATAATGTACATTAGTCATATTAAAAGTTTTTTCAATCATACATGAAATATAACAGACCAATTCTGATAATCGTTATCGAATTCTCGAAAAACAAAAATGCTAATGTTATTCAACAATTTAACACGTTCTTAGATAGATATAACTGTTATTTTATCCATATAAAGTCAAAATATTTTTTGTGCTCTTTAAATAAAAACTTTGTCTTTGAATATCCATACGAAATATTATGTTCTTAACTACATAAATCTTATTCGAGGACATTCACCACTGTTCCCCTGTACTTAAACAGAAAAAAACTATAGCAGGAAGATGAATCCTACAAATGTAGAATTTTGTCTATCTTTTGAAAAAGATCGCTTAGAGCAATCAGTTTTTATCAAGTCAACATATTTTGTGTTCAGAGAGATAATTAAATATGAATCTGTTATCACATTGCTGTGGTTTTCATAGAAATTGAAAAATACTCATAACACATGAAAAGGTTATTACAAAGTGAAAAAAATCAATTATTCATCAACGTTTCATTTGTATTATTCTCATTCATTTACTCTATTCTAATCATATAGACTTATCCACTTATATTTTATGCAAAATAATACGTAGTATGTATCTGTATTTTAATTTTTTATCGGTAATAATAAATTTTTGTAGTTTTTCTCTATTATTCTAAAATATGCAATAGTTATCTCCACAATATGGATTTCTTGAATTACACATCTAAGTCAACTTTCTTATCCAATTCACGGTGCCATTGCGTTACACGTCCACGCTAAGACTTACATAAGAAGTCATGATCTTACAGTAATCGCGTTTCTCTTATACTACAGCAGTAATCATACGCCATTCTCGCAATCTTAAAATATTCACTATGATCGCGTCAAAATTCTCACTCGCGCGATTTCTGTTCGCTTGCAATTTGACGAAAAACTAAATAAATGACGACTTGAAAGATTTCACGAGTCTGATCGATCTAACTACCTATACAGTTTTCTAATTATAAAATTCCAAAATGAAAGAAATTCAAGTAAAATATTTATACTTCGTTAATATTTTATTTTATGATCGATATACATCATGTTTTACTCGGACTTTTCTTCGAGAACATTATGCATTCAAGACAGTTTACAACAATTTATATTGACTATGTCTACTCTGTCTGTGAGTTACATATCTTCAATTTTTCAGTTTTCATGAATTTGTGAAAATTATTTTCAAAAAACTTCATTTTCAAATTTTTTAAAGTTCTACTGTCCTGTATTTCTTAGTTTCAGTTCGACATGTGACCAGAGTTTGATCTCAAAATAAAAATGAGTGTAAAATTGATATCTTTTGGTTCGCCTATGAGTATTATCGATAAGGTAACGTTTCTTGAATGCGAAGAAAACATTCAGGCATGCATTTTCAGAAAATCTGTGGAGGGATCTTAGCGCTAGGGTGAGTTCCTTGTTAGAGCAAAGATATAGCCAAGGGACCGGATTTCTCTCCTTCAGCTTTCTTCTATCTCCAATGAAAAACTTGTTGCACAAAATTAAAGAAAACAGTAATTATGCATTTACCAGGCTAAAATATACCAGTACCACTAGTAAATTTGATCGTCAGTATATGACTGGATAGAAAGGAGTAGAAATATTTATTGAAAAGAAATCAAGATAGATCGAGAAAAAGATCCAACCTCTGCTTTAGCAAATCGTGGTAATGTCGTTGTGCTAGAGCCGGTATCCAATGAATGGGACGGAAAAACTGAGCCCCAATCTCTTTGCGTCCAACATGACTGCACTGATCTTTGCTACATTCGAAAAGCTACTAACAGCATCTTACATCAAGAATCTTTACGTGCATTCCTCACTTTCATACATTTTTACTTTGTGGTCTTTGTACTGCCAGGATGATTAACTGATATATGCACAGGTAAAGTCCTTCATTTTCTGAGTCCCGTTTTCAAAAGTAACTGATGGAGGGATATTTTAACTTTGTGACTGAACAACAGTAGAAAGAAATGACTACTTCTGACTTACACTCTCATTCAAATTGCTGTACACTTAGCGTGTATTAACTATTTTCTTCATTTTATTATATTATTTTCTTTGAAAAACAAAAAAGCAGTAGTAAACCGCACAAATAATGGCGCGTAAAATAACTTTTCATACTATTGTAAACAGAAGGAATAATCTAAGTATACGTTTTCTGTATACGAGCATCAAACACAAATAAGATATTTTTTGTTTACAAACAATAATAACGAAAAAGAACGAATCATCTAACGGGTGTTTCATAATATATGCGGATGTTGACAAGTGAAACAAAAAAAAGATGCGTGCATATGCTGTAGAGCGGAAATAGCATTAGGGTGCATTAAAAGAGTAGCGAGAGAGGAAGCTGCGCATAAGATGATGGTACTGCAAAAGTTCAAACTCTTATTCTTTTTCATTAATTTCATTCTACCAGAAATGACTTTTTTGCTTTTCTTCTATACGAGTTCATTTCCAAATTTCGAGGGGCAAGTTCAAATTCTAAGATGGCATTCCCAAGTGGCCAACTTTAATATTATTTTTTCTCTTTTCAATTTACTATTTCTACTTGAATTATTATTAACTTTATTTTCAGGTTTTCTGCTGATTTTCATTATTCTTCAAATTTTTTTGACTGAAGATAAACTGACGATAAAATAAATGAATAGTCGTAATCATATGCCTAGTGAAACTTCTTCTAACCAGTGCGATCTTAATTCAAGATCTTAGTAAAAACGTACACTTATCTCTTTGATAGAGCTGTTCAAGGATAAGCCCGACATGTCTGATGTCTATAACGGAGGATCGTAGTAGGGGGGGGGGGGGGGGGGGTGATGTATTAAAAAAAGTTTTTTAAAAAAAAAATTTTTTTTAACCTGGCACACCCAATGGGACGTTCAGCAGACCGCTCCTGTAAACTACTAACAAAAAATNTTTTCACTTTGTAATAACCTTTTCATGTGTTATGAGTATTTTTCAATTTCTATGAAAACCACAGCAATGTGATAACAGATTCATATTTAATTATCTCTCTGATGTCTATAAAAGACTTTTTATACATAAAACTTTTTAGTTCACTGGCTCACACCATGGGAAGTTCCTGAGTACGCTGCTGTAATCTACATACATAACATAGATTTGATCAGTTACTTTTCTTTCTCAAATAATCCGTACTTTTTTCTTAGTAATCTATATCATATAATTTTCCTACTTGAAATCTTTTATCTATTTCTTCTTGAGTTGAGCATGATAATTTGACACCAGTGCCAATTTGCCCATAGAGCTCATTAATCGAACGAAATCTTTTATGAACAAAATTATGTTCAAGTCTTAATGGTATTTAATGCTGATAAATATCGCTCTAAATAGACGAGTCAATTGTTTGAGAAGGCATAAAGCATGTATTAGCAATTAGGATATCAGATTTCTCTTAAAACAAGAAACATCGGAAATTACCAACAGGTCTAATTACGTCCCAAAAGAAGCGAATGAGGATAAAAATATATTAGAAAATCATCTGACGATCGTTCTTCTTAGTTCCAGAATTGTGCCACAAGTGTTTATAGCGGTTAGAGGCGTAGCTAAAAGCGAGAAAAAAGCGCATAGGACTTGAGTTGCGTTATATTAATTTTTAGAGCTAGCGGTTCTCTCTTTGATATTGCTTCGAGCCTGGAAGTCCTTTCTACTGCAAATTAAAACAAATCAGCTGCTTTGTGGATACCATTTGACTTACTCCTTTCAACGTATAACAGCTTTCAAGTTAGTTACACAGACTAGATGCCGCCATATACTAGTGTTAAACAAGAGTACATAACTTGCGGCACTGGCAGCTGTAAAACGAGAGATGAAAGGTTCCATTCAAACATGTAGCTCCTCAAAGTGGTCTAATTGTTCTTGAACGTGAGATATACGTATTCTTAATAGCCAGAAAGCTTCCCAGAGAAAAGGATCTGGGTACTTCCATACAGGTCCGTGTAGCGGTTTTCTAGAAATCCCATAAAAAGCCTCAGTTACATAAATATTAAATCCAAACCATTCTGAAATTCGGATTCAGCATGTCATTTTATGGGTAACTGAGTATTTTTTCCGGTTCCTGACTCTAGCCAGATGATAGGATTTTGACGGGATTTCCAGAAAACCGCCACAAGAAAAACCACCAGAGTCAATACCTTGTGCCTTTTGTATCACTAGTCGAGTAGCGTATGGGGTAATAAGATCTCGAAGAACCAACGTGTAGTTTTCGAGGGAGGAGGCCAGAAAGAGTCAAAGTAGGTCTCACACCAACGCTTACCATGAAGGAGTAAACAAAGCTAGAGACTTCATTGTTGTGTCATACGAACAAACTTGGAAGCTGCTTTCATTTGCATATAAATAAAGTTATGTTTTGTTAGATTTTGAGCTCGTGCAACACGCTATAAAACGAGTGATATCTGCTAATGCGGATAATGTCCTCCAGT